TAGTACAAAACAACAATATCTTACATACTTTTCAAACACAAACTAAGTTTTGACTATGCTCTTTTAAAGCAGAAATTACTGCAATTCTTTCTGCTATTATTACTGCATCCAGAAACTGTACAGTACACATCTACACTGACTCACAATCCACTATATCTAAATACAACAGTACCAACTTAAAATCACTCAAATTATTATTCATCAATACCTCATATCACTTACTTTGGTATACCTTAATTAACTTTACAAAATCTTACAATATACAACTTATTCTGCACAAAGCTGCATATTAGAATTATGAATTCAATAACCTTGCTAACAATCTTGTCTATAATCATTTTAACCTTCTATACTTACTATTTAACTCACAAAATCATTATAATCCTAACTATATACTACAAGTTGATAACTACTCTATTGTAATATCTATTTGTTATTGTATTCACACAATTTGCTATGCCTATATTTAGCACTATAATCATCTCAACATCACTTTTAAAAATGGTCACAAATTGCAACTCAAAGTAATTAAAAAGCCATCTGGCTTTATATTAACAATAATCAAAAAATAACAACCTACTCTCACAGCTTTCAAACATCTCAACTTAAGTCTTTCTGTATAAAAATCCTTATAGATGACCTTCCAACTCTACATAATCTATATAATCATAACCATACTTAATCTCCTAACTGTCACCAATGTAACCAAATTAGAATTCCACTCTATTGAACTACTTGCACATCTTCACATCACCTTAACAATCTTATCAATAACTCATTTAAATATTTTCTTAACATATCGACTCTTGACACAATACCAAGAACTGTATCTGATCTGCACAATCAAATTAAAAATCTTAACTATATGCAAAACTACAATATATCAAATTCTCTCTTTCTGACATCAACTCTGTCTAGTCTAAATCTCTATGAATTAATTGATTCAATTAAAGATATTAATCTATCTAATAAAACTGCTACTATATTTTTAATTATACTTCTGCTTCATCTTAACCAAATAATTTATACACATATCTGAATACTATATTGTGCTTCTAGGCCTCAACCAGCAGACAATCTCAACTAATTTTCACATCATATACCTCTTAAAACTTACTAACTCAACACATATTATACTTAATTACTAGTTCTAAAATTAAAATATAGTACTCTAAATAAATCAAATATCAAATGAATTCTCTCATTATAATTACAAATTCTGAAATCTAGGTAAGCCTTGGCCACTCTGGTAAGTTTAGATCACAGATAATTTTTCTAAGCCTCTAATTTTAATATTTTATAGATATAGAATTCAATTATAAATTTTTTTTGTATATTTTACTTGTAAAAAGTTTAACTGAGTTTTAATAAAAATAAAGGCATGACCTTATTGTTAATATTTAAAAAAAAAATTTTTATATTCTAATTCTTAAAAATTTCTTTTAAAATTATTTATTTATTATAGCATTTGTTATGTATATATTTATGTATTATAGATTATACAAAACTAGTTTCAAAAATAAACAAAAATTTTTAATTAAATTAATTGATAAGTTACTTAGTTATATATTAACAATAATCAAAAATTTTAATTTTTTATATAATTTTTAATCTTTTGTTTTTAAGTTTTTTAGAATTAAAATTTTATTAGATAACTTTTTTATTTTATATATTTTATACAAATATTATTATTTATACTTATTAACTTGTTATTAATATTATAAAACTAATTTTTATCTTTATTGAATAACATATTTATCTAACTAGTTGCTATACAATTTTATTAATAATTTATTATAACATATTTTAAATATAAATATAGTTAATATTATTTCTAAAATTATAATTAAACTATATTGTTAAATTAGACAACTGTATTGTATAATCATATACAATACAGTTGATTTATTTTTAATTTTTTTCAATTTTATTAAACTTAGTACTAAATAAAATTATTTTTACTAATTTAAACTTATTATTTAAAAATAATTATAATACTTGTTATTAAATTTTATTTTATCTTAATCATTAAATATATTATAAAAATTGGATTTTTTATTGTATTTCAAGATTAATACCTCATTTTTTTACTTTTAATTTATTTTTTAATTTTACTTTACATTTATTACAATCTTTTTTTTCTAATTTTATTTACTTTAAATCAATTTTTAATATATATAATAAATTAAATACCAAACTAATTTTTTATATATAATTACAAACATTTAAATCTAAGTAAGCCTTAATTACTTTTGTTGGTTTATGTTGCAGATAAATTAGTTTGAGCTTTTACTTTTTTTATAATATTTTTAAAAGTAAATTTATGCTTTATGTAAAAATTTTAAGTAAATATTTAATAAAGATAGAGTTATAACCTCATTATAAATATTAAAAAAAAAATAAAAAATAAAATCTAACCAATTATAATATTTAAGAATATTTTAAATTCCAATCATAAAATTCAAATTTAAATAAATTTAAACTATTTTAAGTTATAAATAAATTAAATAATTTAAAAAATTTACTATTTACAATTTAAGCTTTAATTTTTATAATTATAATTTCATATATATTTTAAAGTTTTTTAAAAAGAATTAAACAACTTATTAATAAAAAGCAAAATTTATATAATAATTAGACAATTTTAAATTAAAATTATTTAAATTTTTATTAATAATATTCATGTTCAAAGTTAAAATCACCATTAGATTTAATTAAGACTTTCAAAATAAGTTGTCATTGAGGAGATACGTATGAGAGCCCAAAAATTTGTTTTCAGGTTGTTTGAAAGCCACTTTGCATAAACTCAACCATATTTCAGCCCTAATTTTTGAACCCACATAATTCGCATAATTTAAGATTTGCCGCACATATAATCTTACAATTATCGGAATATAATTCTGGACACTCTAGTCATTGTGCAAAAAAAAAATTTTCGATAACGTGATCGACGATCCTTCTGAATTTAAATTTTTTTTTTAAAGTTATCTTAACGGCCATTTAACAGAGTTTGATAATTTTTTTTTTTATCATGATTGTGTGATTGTCAAGATACCTTCGCTCAAAGTTTGGGAAAATTCAAAACGCCTATTTAAGATATTGTAACAGAATAGGATATTATTATTAATATACAAATTCTTTATTATTATTATTATAATTATGCATAACAAATATGTATAACGATCATGTATAAACGACATTTAGTATGATTTTTATTAGTCTCAAACTAATGAAAGATAAATAGTTTTATAGAAACCAAAAAAAGATTAGTCGTTATTTAGAAAAACGTACATAAGGTATTTAAACAAATTTCTTTGTTAAAGCATCATTCCACTTCCAAAAAGGCAAAATATTATATAATAAAAGCCATCTACGTATTTAATTTCCTTCTATAAAACCTGTCCACTCGGTCATTCGTCTCACAATATTAACCGCAGTGACGACCATCTATCAGATTCGATGAACATTTGCGTCTAATCACAAGTAAATTACAGAATTAGATGTATTACACAAGGTGATACGATATACGTAATAAGTTGGGTTGTAACCTCTTAAACCATCAATTTTATCAATAAACCAAGTATATACGTACATACGTAATTTTCAATTATTTTCCAACTCTATCAAACAATACTAATTGGCACCAAACCGTTTTTGTTACAAATTAGGTACAACAGATAAAATCTTTTTGACCTATTATGTAACAAACATCCAATGTGTTTCAACAAATAATGCAATTTTATTGCTCCGGAGTTTGTTGGGTTATTGTAACATATAAAAACAACAAAACAATAGTACAAAAGATGATTTTCTTTTTTTTTTAAAAAAAAAAACGCCACCAAAACGATAAAACGATGAATGAAACGTCACAAAAAAAATAACATCACCAAATGAAAGTGCACAACGATTATTCCGAAAGTGATACCAAAAACACCAGACACCATGATCAATGCATATGCACAGAATCGGTATGCAATAAATGTATATGCGACAAATTATATGTACAAAGTATAAATTTTAATTACAAATTTAATTTACTATTTTTATATAAAAACTTCGGCAAATTAATTGTTTGTAGTTATCGTTATATTTTAATTATTAAACTTTAAAACCTTTTATTGCAACTTTTTATTGTTGAAAAATTTTTTGATTAGTTTTGTCAATAATTAATATACTAATTCTTTTCGACCTTCAATAAAGAATTTTTATGAATAAAGAATTATAAAGAATTATTTGTGTGTATGTATAGTACAGAAGTATTTGGACAAAACTTATTTTAGTAATTATATAGAATTCTTGTTTATTGAAGAATGGCAGATTAGGATAAGTATTATTTATACATAGCGATAGTAATTTTATACGATTTACGATAAGAGAACTCGAAAATATAAAATATATATATATAACGATAACGACATACGTACATGTTTATTCATACCGATACATGTTTATTCATTCATACACGTTTTATATAAATATATTAAATATATTGATATGCATTATCGTTATTAATTAGCATTACATTAAATTCTTAAATAGTAGTACATGATAGTAGTACATGCTTACGTATGCGTATATAAGAGATAACTATTATGAATTGTGCTATGTGATACAGCAACAAAAACCAAGTAACACATTACATCGCGTAAAAGACTAGGCACAACAATTACTCAATTTAATAAGTAGTGGTAGGTACAAAAATCAATAACGATGAACACTTGTTATCTTCATTAACTATCTTTTGAATTTTATGGGTAATTTCACACTGTTTACAAATAGTTTTAACTACATTTACAAACACAAGATATTTATATCTGAAATTTATATCTGATATTATTTGAGATATAAAAAAAAATCTTTTGTACTTGTTTACGTACTACAAATTTGAATTTCAACATTTTTATGTTGAAAATTATTAAAATAACTATTCTAGATTAGATGTTTAAAATTCTATCGTATTAAAAATTTAAACTCTTTTTAACGATTTATTGTAAAAAATCATGTCTCAATCTCTAAGCATGTCCTCAGACTCAGGTACTCAACGAACATTATTTACACCATTCAAAGATTATGTGTTTACTACGAAGGAAATATTAAGGGCAATAAGAATTATGTTTAAATTCTTTAGAGTAACGGCCACAATTTCATTTCTAATCTTAATCATTCTTGACATTGTACAAGAAGGATTCTTTGAGCTTAAATACATTTACGATATTATTCTTTTTATTGCTCTCCTCACTGCCATTATTGATATTATGATATTTGGAGTTGAACTGTTATTATGTATATTCAAACGAGAAATACATAAATCAGATTCATATAAACAACAACAATTACTACAGCAATTGGAAAAGAATGAAACATCACAATTAGAAATGAATCAACATTCAAGAGGCAGAAAAATGGTTATGGTGGAAATGATCTTTAGCGTATTGTTATTTTTAATATATTTTGGATTATCATTAACCATAACTGCGCTGTATGGATTTTTCTCTGGCGATGACGATTCAACCGAAACTGTCAGGAATGGATTAATTTGGATTATAGCCTTTTGTTGGTTTTTCTATTTCATATTTACGTATTTGGAATATAGATAAACTGTTGAAATCAAGGGAAAGAAATGAATGGTGTTAAGATTATGATATGATTATATGATTATATGTTATTTATATTTAATTTAATATTATCTATTTGGTTAATATAATTAACCTTTGACACTAAAATTTATGTAAAAAAAAAAAAATATATATATATATATATTTTGCTTACTGGAACTGAGGAGGGGTAATTCTTACGGAATTTCAGAAATGTCCGACTCCTGGTTCAATTGGTTTTAATTTTGGTTCGGGTAACCAGAAATTGAATGATACCGAAAACTTGGTTTGAGACATAGCATGAGTTTTAACAAATGCATTACCTGATTTTTAATAATAAATCTTAACTTTAAAATGTATTAATTGATATTTAAAAACTTTAGTAATGACTTTTAATAATGACTTTTAATATCGCTAAATTTAAATATTAAACATTAAATTTTTATTGTATAAAATGCTTCTAATCTTAATTCATTTGGTATTACAGTATTACTAATTCTGGTCCATGACCAACATATTCATCTCGATGGAGAAATTTTTAAGCGGTTAAACGGTTCTTATCCTTTTTTATTAATCAAAGTTATGCGTAACGATGATTACTTTTGATATGTACGTAATCTCTAAAATAGACTACGTATATTATAATACGTATAAATATTATTATATCGATATTGTAACAATAAACTAAAATTAAATACGTAAAAAGTTCATTTTCCTTTTTTTCTAAATAAATATATATTTCAAATATACGTATACAATTTTAAATTTATCAATAAACATAAGGATTGCTTTTTTTAATGATCTTTTTAGTATATTTTTAGTATTACTTTTAGTATTACTTTTAGTATTACTGCCATATGAATGTAATCGAAGGTTATCAACTCATACAAGGGGATCCTCAAAATTCCGGGTCGAAACCATCGGATTTAGCCCGGCATTTAGTTAGCATTTAGTAATACAAGTTAACCATTTCTGGGCCAAAATTATCAGCTGGGCAGCTTTACTTAATGAGTGAGCTATGGTTTCATTAGTAAAACTTTTAGTGATCTTGGGCAAAATTAGTTAATTCCGGCCCTGCCGATCATGATTCCGAAGTATTCCGACCCGGAATTTTGGGGATCAGACTTAGCTCCTGAAAAATCCGATTATCGTAATTACATATCTGATGATCTTTTAATTTATACGCAACTTAATTTACATTGTTTAACATTAATAATTATAATTAGCGCATTTTTCAATGATTAATGCTTAATCTTAATGTGTGTTGTGCCTGAAGTTGTCACTCATCATCATACATGCATTAACTGGTGATTTCACTAACTTCGAATGCAGCGTAAAGTAAAAGGGATTTATTTGACGAATTAGCAATATCTTGATTCCAGCAATCAGAATCGGTACCCCCAAAGATTATTGCGCTTTGCGGTGACCCCCACAGATGTTGTCATGTTAAATCACGGGAAATTAGGAAATTTTTTGATTCTAAGAGAATTTTACAGATATTGATTGAATACAGTATATGATGATAGACTATTTAGACTCTTTTTTGCAAAGCGCAATAATTAATTAGCAATTCACGTAAGAACAGGAAATTTTATATAATAAAATAGGGCAAATTTACTATAATTTCGTATAATTTCGGAATATTGGAGCCCAGTTTCCCTACAATATAAAGTATTAATAATTATTATAATTATTATAATATAAAATTAAATTATAACGTATTTTTACAGCTGTTTTCAAAAAGGTGTGAACAACGATTTTCATATACCTATGTGGGAAATCGAAGAATCTGATTAGTAAAAATTGAATGTCCGATTAGCATTGGATTTGAAAATTCTGGAAATCTGGGAAATTTCGTAAATTTCTCAAGATATGGTGATCTGCGTCTGTCCACACCCTTTTTGAAAACAGCTTTAACAAAAACTTTTTACCATATGATTTAGGAAATTGGATTCCATATTACTATTAAAATTTTATAAATATTTACCTCCAACTTTTATAATTAATATTTCTTGTGCGTTATGTGAATTGCTAATTATGTAAGTACAATTTCACTGGTACTATGTGAAGTGAGGAATACTATACGATGCTGAAGAGAGTATTATAATGTGAGTTGATTGTATAACGAGATCATTGAGTCTGATCATGATTACTGTTTGGGATATTTTTATAATCTATGAACAGTACCTCTATACTATTTATAGAATTCTTTTTCAAGGTACTGTATGCAGTGCTGTACGGTATATCAAACTAAGGTGAAACCAAGGAAAAACAAGAACATGGACTTTAATTTTGTATTTCAATATAAATTAAACTTGTGAAAACTTGTAACGATAAGTGTACTTAATAATTTATTATGATCAGTCACCATTACAGGTTTTCATTTTGCATCAATGAGATTAGGTTCAGTAAAAGCCCGTGGTCTGGTTTAGAATTTTTAATCGGTTTATTTGTCAGATGTAAAAACCGATTAAACTCGTTTTAGTAATCTAGTTTTCCTTTGACGTTACTTATATCATAAGTACTTCTATGCCAGTACTAGTAATCTTAATATGTAATGTATCAAAAGTAATGAAAAGAGTAATGAAATTATCTATATTATACAATTATCTTTTAAACTGTCAAATTAACTAATATTTACTATAATACCTAATATAATTTAATAACTTAATCACAGATCAATCTGACGTATAAATGTTTCGCGTCAATTCGGAATTTCGGAATTCATGTCGATTCGGAATTGACATGTGTCATCTCTCGATTTTACCGATCGTGAAATAACTCAAGTCGATTCGTAATGCATATTATGATAACGATAATAATTATTACGTATTTTATCAATTACGATATTATTAATAATTAAATTGATATTTGTACTGATATTTATAAAGCTAATTCTTTTATTGTCGCATGTTTCATTTTTTTATTCATTATATTCAAATCGATCTTTACTGTTGTGTATTGCATAATTTCTTCAACACTTATGGATTCGCAAGGATATAACTTTGTGATTCGTGAAACCTTTAACCGAATATTAGAGACCTTCATTAGCAAAAGGAAAAACAAGCGAAGCTTGATGGATAGAAGTCAGTATAAAGAATGTTTAAATATACTAAAAAATCTAGACCTTCAGTGTAACCCAAAGTTCAAATATTGAATGATTAATACTTTTAAAGTTCTTTGCATTAGCATGACAGAGGAATTGCATTTACTTAAACAAGATAGGAATAACTTGAGGACTCAGATCTGTTATATGGAAAATTTTTATGAAGTAATTTGTGCTGCCCACCAAGTAACTGAGTATGGTGAACATGAAAAAACTTAGAAGAAGGTAATTTTATGTTATTGTTTTCTTTAAAAAACAAAAATATTAATAATAGCAATAACCTTCTTATTAATTTCAGGTCAGATACTGTTTTATTTCCCAACAGTTAGTTGATGATGTAATTAATAAATGCAAGATGTGTGTTACTCAATACATTTCTAAAATAGTTTTTTAAATATGTCCAATTATTTTTAAAGATTTCTGAAATTGTGTTTAGGTATATACATTAGATTAATTTTAATAAATAAATTAATTAATAAAGTTCATAACAAAATTAAACAAAAAACTCTTTCTGTTGATTCTTTTTACAAATTTAGTCAAAACACAAAACCATAAATAACTCAACAAACAGTATAGGAAACATACAAAAAAGTATTAAGAAAAAAGAAGCAGATAGGCAAAGCACATAAGTAGTATACAAAGTTGTAGCAAAAGAAGTAAACCATATAGCATAGCAGCAGCTTTCATCAAAAATAAAGAAAAATTTAGAAAAAATTGAAATTTTTTGGGGAACTACAGTAGACTTGGAAAAGAACAAACAACCACACATGACCAGTCATCTGAGCAAACAACAAGTAAACAAACACAACACATACAAATTTGGAAATAAACAACACGTACAACAAAATAAACAAAAAAACAGGAATAGAACTAGATATGCAAAGAAGACTAGAACAAGATTTGGGGAATATAAAGGTTACACAAACACAGAGTTTACTTAGATATGTTAGCGATTATGGGGCAAAAGTAATAAGATATACAAATAGCAAAGAAATTATTAAAGTTTTAGATACAACAAAACCAGCAAGCCCAGATGATATAGAATTAATAGCAAAAAGCTTAGTAGTAGAAGA